TTTAACAGTAAAGCTGCTCATATACTAATATATTCAATTAACGCTACATTTAATTTTAAGTTATTTTTAGTTGATTTAAAAGCAGCAAAGATGTGAGTTTAGACTGACAGAGCTTAAAAATGAAGATTTTAGATTTGGGCATTATTTTTGGCCTGTTTTTGTTTATTTAGTAGTCAATGTGTAAATTAATACTTTTTTTCTGTAATTGGTGTTGATATTTTCTGAAATTTGTCTGTAAAATAACAGTAAAACAATTACTTACCATTTTTCAGTCCTTAATATACTTTTTAAATGATAAATAACAGCAAATATCTGTAAAATAATTAGAATTTTAGTTTATTTAAGTCCATTAAAACTGTAATTTCACTGTCACACATTGTGAAACAACAAATTGCTATTTGTAAATATCCAGATTGTTGATGAGGACATTATTTATAGTTTGGGCTTTCTTTTTCTTTTCTTCCCCCCCATAATTTCCTGAGCCAGTAATTGAATTTATCTGGAAAACAACTGTTAGGAATGATCTACCGCTTTTAAAGCCTTAATACACATAATTTTCTTCTGTAGAAAGACGATATTTTTGTTTATCTAGATACAGTAACAACAGGGTAAGTTTACAGTGAAATTATTATATATTCTTTTAAATTCAAAAAATATATTTTTTAATGTAGACATTAGCCTTTTATTTATTTATTTTTTGCTTTATTTTTTACAATCAATGTATAAATTAATACTTGAAAAACATTACAACATAGTAATCTGTAAAACAACTGTTAAAAATGTCAATTTTAAATTGACATCAGTAATTTCAACAATTTTAAAATCCTTAATAAAATAAATGTAAAATAACAATATTTTTGCTGATTGAAATTTCTTTTTTCTTTTTTTTTTCAATGTGTAAATTATTACTATTTTTTTTAAATTATTTTGCGATTTAGTAATTTAATTTATCTGGAAAACAGCTGGTAACAATGATCTGCCATTTTGAAATTAATTAATTAAAAATTAAATTTTTCTTGTTGTAAAATAATATTTTCATTTACAGTAACAGATTTACGGTCAAATTACAGAAAATAACTAATTATGATGTTTTAACAATTACAGGTTTTGATGTTGACATTATTCACAGTTTTGGATTTTTTACATGTAAATAATGTTTTTTTGTGATTTTAATTGTTATTAGCAAAACAGGGAAAAATCTTAAAAATGTAAAATTAAATTACAGCTAAAAAAAATCAACCAAAAACTTTTTTTTTTTTTACAAAATATTAAATTGCCCAAAGACATGTGCCGTAAAATACCATCAGATTACAGATTCTGTC